AACTTCGACAGCCCCCCCCCAGCGCACGGGCCGCCCACGCGGCGCTCACGGCCGCCCACCGAGCGAGGCTTCGTCAACCTCGCGCAGCGCACGGGCCGCCCTCGCGAAGCCCAGGGCGGACCCCACGGGGCGAAACCTCGGCAGCACCCGTGGGGTGCCCACGAGGCGCCGACGGCCGCCCACCGGGGCGAAGCCTCGGCAGACCCACCCAGCGCGCGGGGTGCCGACGGGGCGCCCACGGCCGCCCAGCGGGCGAGCCCTCGGCAAGCCCGTCCAAGTCTTCAGGTCGCAGAAGTAAGAGCCCCTAGGGCAGGCAAGCACTGGCTTAGGAAGAACGTTCCGACTGGGCAGGCGCACACACACACACATTCACACCCTCGTGGCACATTGCCCTGCACAGCATGATAATTGAGTGCATGCAAAGACTTGTATACTAGCCCGCACACATAACCTACATGTTGTAACGATGTATGTATCTAGTGTATATATACACATGCAGATATTTTCATACGCGTGTTACATCGAACGCAGATGCTACTTCCAATGCGACGAAGTCTATTAGCACGAATGCGCAATACCACGATACTGAGTTCCAGCCACCACTATTACTACTAATACTGCGACTGCGAATGCAAGAACTCATAGGGTTAGGGGTCGCGGTATAGGGCTAGGGATATAGGGATACCGCTGTTCCCCAATCAGAGCTTGCCTCTGTAGGGGTCCTAGGGGATTCATATTGTTAGGTGAGGTGTCCCGCCGATTTCGGTGCCCAGTAGCTCTCTAGCCCTATAGCCTCATAGCCTTATAGCCCTATAGCCCTATTGCCGTATAGCCGTATAGCCATACAGCCCTATAGTCCTATTGCCTAATAGCCCCAATAGCCCTATAGCCCTATATTCCTACAGCTTCACAGCCCTATAACCTCATACTCTTATAGCCCTATAGCCCTGTAGCCCTATAGCCTGATAGCCCTAATAGCCCTATAGACCTATAGCTCAATAGCCCTATAGCCTTGTAGCCCTATAGCCCTATGACCCTACAGCCCTATAGCCCTGTAGCCCCATAGCCGTGTAGACCTATAGCACTATAGCCCTATAGCCCCGTAGCCCTATAACCTGACAGCGATCATGATTGTTTTTTTTCTCCGGTATCATAGGTGTAAGGATGTGAATCGGGTAGGGACAGTGATAGAGGACCTGGAGACAACGGGAGTCAACTGGAGGCAACCGGAAACAACGGGAGACAACGGGAGACAATCGCCGCCCGACCGACTCCAGGTCCGTGTGCGCCCGGTTTTGGTTTCTTAGAGACAGTATGTAGGACCTTGGCAGACAAGCTGTTTCATAGGCATGCGACAACGAATGCGACAATCAATGCGAAAACTACAGGGATAGTTCCCCCCTCCCGAAGGACGGTCGTCTCGCTCACTCCCCACCGCCCTCCCATCACATCAGTAGCACTCGTGCCTCAGCATGGGAAAGGGGCCGCCACTGGCCATGATCGGGAGGAACCGGTACAGACGCCAGCCAGGTGCGCGACGCTCGCAAGGTGCGCCGCGCGTGCCAGGGCATCCCCATTATTTTCAATTATCCCAGTGCGACCCTACCTAGAAGTTGGAGCCCCTAGGAAAGCAGCATTAGTTGCTATGCTATGCTATGTTATGCTATGCCATGCTATGCTGTGCTATGCTATGCTATGCTATGCTATGCTGCGCTATGCTATGCTATGCTATGCTATGCTAAGCTATGCTATGTCATGCGGCGCTGTGCTATGCTAAGCTATGCTATTCTATGCTAAGCTGCGCTATACTATACTATGATATGCTATGCTATGCTATGCTATGCTCTGCCGCGCTATGCTATGCTATGCTATGCTATGATATGCTATGCTGCGCTATGGTATGCTACGCTATGCTATGCTATGCTGTGCTCTGTTTGCTCAAGCTCAGCGAAGCTAAGATGAAGGTAAGCTAAGTTAATATAAACCTGAACTAAGATGAAGCTAAGCTAAGCTAATATGAAATAAGCTAAGCTAAGATGAGGTAAGCAACGCTAAGCTAAGGGGACGTAACTGGGGGAACCGCGGGGCGGATACTGGGGGAACCGCCCGGGGCGCTTTCCACTGCCCGGCCCCTTTAAGCCCAGAGAGTAAGAACCCTTCTAGGCAGAGCCTAGGTAGGGAAATAGCACTGCAAAGTGAACGCGAGGCTCCCGCGCATGATCGCTGTCGGAAAACTTTTCAGCATTGTTCCCTACCTAGGCTCTGCCTAGAAGGGTTCTTACCGTGTTGGCTTAAAGGGCCGGGCAGTGTTCCACGCCCAGGGCGGTTCCCCCAGGATCCGCCCCGCGGTTCCCCCAGTTGCGCCCCCTGGGTTCACCCAGCTTAGCTAAGCTTAGCTTAGCTCAGCTTAACTTAGCTTATCTCATCTTAGCTGAGCTTAGCTTAGCTTAGCTTCGCTTCGCTTAGCTTAACTTTGCCTAGCCTAGTCTAGCTTAGCGTAGCTTAGCTTAGCTTAGCTTAGCTTGGCTTAGCCTATCTCATCTGAGTTTTAGCTTAGCTTAGCTTAGCTTATCTCATTTTAGCTTAGCTTAGCTTAGCTTAGCTTAGCTTAGCTACCTTAGCCTAGCCTAGCCTAGCTTAGCCTTAGCTTAGCTTAGCTCAGTTTAGCTTAGCATAGCTTAGCATAGCTTAGCATACCTTAGCTTAGCTTATCGCAGGGCAGCATAGCGCAGCGCAGCATTAGCACAGCATCGCACACCATAGCATAGCAACGCATAGCTAGATGTAGATGTAGATGTAGATGTAGATGTAGATGTAGATGTAGATGTATATGTAGATGTAGGTGTAGATGTGGACGTATGTGTAGGTGCAGATGTAGATGTAGATGTATATGTAGGTGTAGATGTGGATGTAGGTGTATATGTAGATGGAGATGTAGATGTAGGTGTAGATGTAGATGTAGGTGCAGATGTAGATGTAGATGTGAGTCTCGCTGTTGATGTTGATGTAGATGCAGATGCAGGTGTAGATGTAAATGTAGCTGTCGGTGTAGATGTAGATGTTGCTTTCCTAAATGCTCCCACTCCTAGGTAGGGTCGCACTGTGATAATTTTTCGGACACGGAGGATGATGGGCCTTCGCGCAGCAGGCAATTTGCTGGCACCCACTTCGTCCCTATCGTAATCACAATGCAACGTTATCGCTTGGTGCCCGCGCATGATCCACATTTTGCCGCAACGTGCACCTTGTATTGTCTTTAACAGGGATGCTTGGGGTGGTGGCGCTGCAAACAGCAGGCAACATGCTGGCATCCCCGCCGTCCTGTCAAAAACCAGTGAAGAGTGACCGCGGGACGTCCTCGCATGACCAAGATTTGGTACAACATGCACATTGTATTTTTGTTGCAAGGGGTGGTGGGGCGTGCTGCCATCGCACACAGCAGGCAATTTGCTAGCCCCCCCCCCACCGTCCCTGTCGAAAACCGATGCAAAGTGATCGCGGTGCATCTGCGCATGATCCAGATTTTGGTACAAACTGCGCTTTGTATTGATATTTCTACAGGGGATGTTGGGGTGGGGGCGGGGGTGTCATGGTCCTGGGTTCGTCGCCTGTCGGCGGTCGGGTGGGGGGGGGGGGGGGGCGTAGATGAATAATAAGGGGGACTGATTTGTTTAATTCTATATAGATATATATATAGATATGATGCATGTATGTATGCATGCATGCATGTATGCATCCATGTATGTATGGGTGTCTGTGTGTATATTTGTATGCGTCTGCATTTATGTATGTACGTATGCATGTATGTATGCATGGATGTATGTATACAAATATGTGTATATATTTATTTATGCATGCGTGCATGCATGCATGTCATGCATGCACGTATGCATGTATGTATATATGTATGGACATAGATATGTATGCGCATGTGTATATGTGTGTATGCATGTACGTGTGCATACATACATGTATGTCTGTATGTCTGTATGCATGTGTGCGTGTATGCATGAATGTAGGTGTGTGTGCATGCATGCATGTATGTATGCATGCATATATACATGTAACGTATGCATGCATGCATACATGTATGCATGCATGTATGCGTGTGTATGTATACAAGTATGTATGCATACACGTGTGAATGCATGAACGCATGTATGCGTGCATTTATGTACACCTGTATGTCTGCATGTAGGTATGTATGTATGAATGTATGTGCGTGCGTATGTATATATGTATGTATGTTTGTTTGTTTGTATGTATGTATGTATGTATGCATGTATTCACGTTTGTATGCATACATGCATACATGGCTGCATGCATGTGTGTATGTATGCATTTACGTATGTACGCACGCATGTTTGTATGCTTGTATGTATGTCTGTCTGTTTGTATGTATGTATGTATGAATGTATGTATGTATGCATGTATGTATGTATGTATGTATGTAGGCCAGTCTGCGTGCTTTCCTGTTTGTCTGTCTGTCTGCATGCACGCATGTATGCATGTATGTATGAATGTATGAGTGTGCATGTATGAATATGTATCTATCGGGCTAGGAGTGTAGGGACTTCAATGTAGGAATGAGAACATGGATCGGATAAGCTGTTCTGGGCACAGCACACAATTAAAACCTGTGCGCTAAGAAGAAGAACGCGCGAGAAGTGGCGCCCCGCTCGCAGAATCCGGGGAGAGAGGAGAGTTGTGCATGTCGAGTATTTGTTCAGCATTGTGCAGAGGGGAGGAGGGGGGAGGAGGGCGGATGCTCCCGAACGATCTTCATTGGCGGTGTGCCTTTGTCTCTATTCGATCTCGGCGATGCAAAGCTGGCCGAACCCTTCTTCGTCGTAAGGCATATGCCCTTATCCCGTTGGGCGGACCCCTGATGAGGAGATGATCGCCGCGCGTAGTAGCGCGGCCGTGTTCGATCGGCTATGCGCGAGGGAGAGTGCAGATACCCCCCTCTCCTACCCCCCCGCGGCTCCGCCGGAGAGCAGGCTGGGCTGGCTCGTGCAGCTCTTCGAGGCCTCCATGGTCGCGCTCGGCGAGGTGTCCGCGGCGGCAGCGGCGACGGCGGCGACGATGGCGGCGACTGCGACCATGATGGCGGCGACTGCGACCATGGCGGCGGCGGCGGCGACGACCACGGCCAAGACGTGCCTGCGTCGGCGGCGGCGACGACTACGACCAGGGGTGCGCGTGAGTCCCTGGAGGTCCCCAGAGGTCCCCAGAGGTGCCCAGAGGTCCCCAGAGGTCCCCAGAGGTCCTTGGCGATCCCTGGGGGTCACCGGAGGCTGCTGGAGGCCCCACGGAATGGGCCGAACAAACGGCCCAAAGCCCGATCCCCCGTCGATGCTCGTCGTGGGAGGGGAGCGTATCTAGTATATCCGCGGCATCGCGGGCCGGTCCCCAGGGCCGCGACTCCATGGGACATGTGGCGTTTTATTGCGGAGGTCCCGCGCGGGCACCGTATCCATGCGACCGCGTATCCTCTGGATCGCGCCCCAGGAATCCAGACCGCGAGGGCGTGGGTAGGGATCAGGTTTCTCAATCGGTGCGGTGACCACACCGTGTGGTGAGTCTGTGAGGATTTGAAGTGGCCGCACGGTTTTGAGATTTGGGTCGTTCTCCGGGGACGTCTCGGGCCGCTGGGGTCTCCAGGCTCCCAAACCCGCGCGGTGAGCACACCGTGCGGTGAGGCCTTTGGTGATTTCGAGGTCACCACACGGTCCGCCACCGCACGGCCTTGGGACCCCCAAGTGGATACGGTGGGTGCGTTGGTTCAGGCATTTGCTCAGGAGGCTTCAGACCCTGAGTGATTCCTTATTTGACGAGGGCGGCGGTGACATTCATAGCGACGCCACGATTTGAGTTCCACTGGCGTCCAGACCCTGGATTCCTTCTCCAATGCTTCCTTGTCCAGTGCCCTTACCACTCAGTCAAAATCTAGAGTCAGGATGCGCCGCTTCATCACGACTACCCTTGCAGCCCTTGCATACCTGCTTTTTCGGCCTATCCCGAGCCAATGTTGACGTCCACGGAGCTTTCAATGGTAAACGGGACTCCCAAGGGTCTTGCATCCTTACCTTGCATCCTTACTATGGATTTTGACTGCATGTCCGCTGCTTGCGACCCCGCTCGCCCCCGAGGGCGACCTGGGCGACGCGACGGTGTGGTTGCAGAGCTCCGGGTGCACCCGCCGCGACCTCCTGCAGGAGCAGGAGCCCCTCGCCCCCCACTCCCCCGAGCGCTGCTGGGGGTGCGGGGGGCAGCCCACCGGCCCGCCCCCCGCACATCATGGCATGATCTGCTTTGGGCTTGTCTTTGTGTTGTGATGCCGGTCTGTCTGACTGTTTCTCGCTGGGACGAGGGACAAAGCCGTTCCAGAGCCTTCCAGAGCGCTCCGAGAAGGCCGCGGCGCCCGAGACGTCCTCCAGAGCCGCCGGATCTCAGAGATTCTCTCGACTTACCCTCGCCCGCTGTTGTCCTCGTCCTGGCTGCAACGCAGTCCAGCCAGCTGCCTCGTCACGTTCTGCCTCGGCGCGCCGCGGCGCTCTCCACTCAGGAGGGAAAAAAGCACACAGATACAATTAATCATCGACTCCCAGAAAATATGGGAAAATATGGGAAGTGGGGGGGAAGACAAAGACCCAGAAAATACTGTATAGGAAAATATCGGGAATCTGGTCATTTGTGTATTTATTTGTGAGTCCCAGGGCCCCTTCATCCACCCCCTCCGCGATGCGGGCGTCCTGCCCTCTCCCGGCTCCTCCCGCCGCGTCGGCGCCGCGGGGGCGGCGCCTCGTGCGCGCCCGCCGCGGCCTGGCAGGGCCCCCCCTCAGCCCCCGCTGTCTTCTGATGGCCTCCGGGAGGGCCTGTGCCGCCGCGGCCGAGCCAGCCTCGGAGTCTGTAGCAGGACCCTATCCAGGGCTTTTTTGAGGGGGGGGAGGAGACTTGGAGGGTGATGGTCCCCTTCTCCTCCTCCTCCACCGCCTCCTACTCCTCCTCCGCCTCCTCCTCCTCCGTCTCCTCCTCCTCTTCCTCCTCCTCCTCCTCTCCGTTGCCATTTGGCTCAAGGTTTCCTTGAGTGGGCAGCCCCATCCACAGGGCCCATCCTGATTGTCGTGATCAGGCGGACACTTTTTCATTCTACACCCTCGGCCAAGCGGGCCGCACTTCCCCCATCTCTCTTCGGCCATGTCCGCGGAAGTGGTCGCTGCGCTCGGACAGGTGCAGCAAACCATTGAAGCTACTCTGACGGCGAAGATCAACACCTTGACCGACCAGATCACGGCAAGCATTGCAGCATCTGTCGGAGCGGTCACTGCGACTATGGACGCCAAGTTTGCGGAGGCGACCAGCAGCATCCAAGCGCAGAGCCAGCACATCGCCGCGATCCACCAGCAGCTCAAGGAGCACCAGGACGCCATCGCTGTGCTGCAGAGTGGAAGATCAACTGCACCGTCGACAGCCTCGGGATCTGGTCAGGCGTCTTCTTCCTGGGCAGATCGACTGGGAGGACCGCGTGTCAAAACCAGGCGGATCGACTCGGACGTGGGCTCCCACACGAGTGGCTCGCAGGGCTCCAAGTCGTACCAGCACAACAATGCACGACGCTGGATTGGTACATATCCCAGGCCGCTGCTAGCAAGTATGCGGACTGCTCACTTCCAGAGCTGGAAGGACCAGGTGATGTCCGACGTCATGCTCAACAATGTCACGCCGCATTTCCACAGAATCAGCCAGAGCTTCAGCCTGACCTTCGCCAGCGAACCGCTAGCGAAGGAATTCACGGACGCGTTCAACGCCGCCAACATCCAGTGGATGGACCCGCGGGACGGAGCGCTCACCACCCTCAAGGCCAGGACCGACCTCCCGAAGGACGTGCGGGCCAAGCAGAGGGCTTTCAGCAAGGTGTGGGATCCTATCATCACGCTCTTCCAGGGAAGCCAGCGCTACACGATCGGATCCAGGCCCATCATCAACGGCTACAAAGGATCGATTCACTGGTCCAATGGAGAAGATGTTTGGCCACTTATTACGTACAATGAAGTCAACCACGCTGCGGGGACCTTTGACATTGACGAGGACACCTGCCGATACTTTGGCCTCGACCCGGCCAAGTTGGAGAGCATCATGGAGGATGTCGAGATGCGGGCGCTCTATATCTAGGAAACACAAACGTCACGCTCATCGGAGGACGATTCGGAGGGAGAGATGCCCTGGCCAGACGGAGTTGGTGCTGACGCTTGCGAGGGGTCGCAAACAACCAGTTCCACATCGTCGGGGTCGGCCTCAGCACCTACCTCACAGACATTATCCTCGCAGAGCAGTGCTGCGGCAACGGCATCCTTGTCATCGCAACGTTCCTGGCCTACTGGGGGTTCGGTAGGTAGCACTGTTCTAGCTGGCACAAGAGAGGCCAGCACACCTTTTATTATTCCCGAAGCGCTTCGCGTTTGCACCTGGAATGCCCAGACGCTGTTCCACTCTATTTCCTCCTCCCCCCTCCTGCTTCGCAAGAAATTTAAGTCGTTGGCCAGGCTTGCACGGAAGATGGATGTAATATGTGTACAGGAGTCGCACGGTCAAGAAGGGGACTTGGAGACTCTTGTTCGGGATTACCAGGACTTCGAGGCGTTCGGATCCTTCATCGAGGGTGGGAACGCTGGTGGGGTCGTCTTCCTGGTCCGTAAAAAGCTGATCAGCGCCTTCGAGCGAGTTGTTCCTTCTGATTTGGTTCCTGGGCGTATCATGACTCTCTCCTTCCTCGGCCCCAAAGGTGCTATGCAGATTTCAGGAGTCCACTTAGATCCGAGCTGGTCCGAACGTGACACTCGTTCTAACTTGCACAGGCTCTCGCGCTCCCTGCTGCCCCAGTGCCAGGCGCTGGGTATCATCATGGGCGATTTCAACTTTCACGAGCACGGTGAATCTCGTCTTTATCTCCAACCTCCTGCTCCCAAACCTACGCCATCACGATTAGCCACAGTATTCGATTATCTCTTTCCTCGCTACGGTGAAGTAGAACAGATAGCTTACACACATCGGGCTAAGATCCGTGAACAAGACACGTATGCTAGACATGATAGAATATACACCAATATTGTCATCCCCACCTTGCTCGACTACAAGCCGCACTCTGGGGTGATCTGGGAGGTGACTGCTCGGCATGAGCCTTCCGATCACGTTCCTGTTTTTCTGTCAATGACTGCACCGCGAGCTGCCACCGGGTCCAGGCTGAACATTCCCACCTGGGTCGCGAGGCATCCGCAGTTCGGCAGCTTCGTGGAAGATCAGATCGAGTCCATTGGCTTATCTCGGGAACCCCCCAAGCAGGTAAATGAAATCAAGGAGATATTCCACCTTGCTGCTGCGCGCGTTCGCCGATATGTAGAGATATCTGGAGCAGTCACAAAGGCCGAAAAGGCCGCTTGCATGCTGAAGTTGGTCAGGGCAGACCGCACGCGAAGCCAGAGGCATGCTCGGAGAGCCTGCCAAGGATATAGGAAGCTGTTCGAGTTTTTCAATCCCGAGACTATGGGCTGGCTGAATCACAACGGGTTTCACGACCACCTTGCGGGTATGATGAGGGATCAGTTGGAGGAGGAGGGGAGGGAGATCGCGAGTTCCGAAACCGGGAACGTGCATCGCAGGCAAGCTGGTCTTCTTAGGGTTCGTCGTCTTGCTGCTGCTTGGGCCTCGCGGAGGCCTCGAATTAGGCTCGGTGCGGTCAAGGATCCCGATGGTCAGGCACACTCGGATGCTAATGAAGCTGCCGCTCTCCTTGCCGAGCACTGGGGTAAGGTATTTGATAATGCAGGTCAAAGTGCCCCCCCTGAACATCATCCGCTTTACGATTTCATTCAGAAAGTTGACGGGGAGGGGGAACAGTTCGTGAACAGTACTTATCAGAGATATGATTGGATAATATCGGAGGAGCAGTTCCTTTGCCTTCTTGCCTCCAAGAGGGACTCCGCCTCGGGACCTGACGGTGTCCCCTACTCGGCCTGGCAGTGCTCTGGCCAGCGCGCGCAAGCTGCCCTCTACCAGTTGTACAGGTATCTCTTGGCTGGAGGCCAACTGTTGGACGGTTTCAATACATGTCGTGCGGTATTCCTACCTAAAGGTGATCTGGAGGATGGAGGGGAGGAAGTTCGAGATCCAGCTGCCGTTCGTCCTTTATCTCTATCTAACACAGATAACAAGCTAGTGAGTGCCGCCATCGCTTCGGTATTGAATGAAGTTGCTGCTGACAAGTGCCACGAAATTCAGAGAGGGTTCGTGAGGGGGAGGATGATGAATGACAATATTATCAACATGGACGGGATGCTGACATTGTGGGGCACGGTGTTTAAGGAGCACATGTGCGGCTTCACACTCTTCGACTTTAAGAATGCCTTCCCGAGCGTTAACCAGGACTGGATCATGAGGGTCCTGGGCTCCATGTGTCTCCCCACCTTCTTGGTCTCTGCCATTACCTCTTTATACGATAAGGTGTGGACGGTAATCACCATTGGGGAGAATCACGGATATTGGGCGAGGAGGGGGATGAAGCAGGGGTGTCCCTTGAGTGGTGTCCTGTTCGCGCTGGTTGCCGACCCGCTGCTCCGCTACCTTGTACAGCTGAAGCCGACATTGGGTTTCGAAATAGGTGCCTTTGCGGACGATTTCTACCTTGTCGCAAGGAATCTGTTCAGGGCTCTGCCAGAAGTTGTTGAGAGATTGGCCTCTTCCTCGTGTATCACGGGGCTAGTGCTCAACAACAGCAAGTGTGTGATAGTAATGCTCCACCTCGAGGGGGCCAAGAGCATCCAGGAAGGATTTTCTGTTCAAGGGCTTGATGTTTCTGAATATAAGATTCGGAAGTCTGGGAAGCTCCTTGGGATATTGGTTGGGTACGATGCTTTCACGGAGGGGTGGTTTGAAGTTACCAAGAAGCTCAGGGCGAGGACCGAGGATGTGAGGAAATTAGGCCTTAGTTTCATCCAGTCCATCCAGGGGTATAACACGTATGCGCTGCCGGTCGTCTCCCATGTTGGGCAGTTTTACCCGCCGACCTCGGCCCTGCTGCGGTGCGAGAGGGAGGCGCACCAGCTTCTGCCCCGTGCTCCTCGTCACTCCTTTCCGCCCAAAAGCATGTTCCACCTGAAGGATCTGGGGCTTCCCCTCGAGTGCCGATCGGTAGAGATATTGTGCAGAGCATCGATGCTTAGGACAGCCATTCGGTCTAAGCAGTTTGACGCGATGCAAGTGTGCTTCCAGGCTGCCCTCGAGGATGACGAACACGTACCCGCGTACAGGCTTAATACCTTCTTCGAACAGTCCATCTTCGGGAACATGAGAAAGGTGTAGAACAACTATGTCGCTATCCCCAGGGCCCCCATGGATTGCCCCCCGAAGTCGCTCCAGAGCTCCATCACCAAATTCCTGATCGAGCAGCGTCCACATGTATATGCAAACCATCTTGTGCATGCGCGTGTCAAGTATTGGATGCCCAGTGCTACTCGTGCCGATGCTGACCTTGTTGTGCTTCGATTTAATGTCCTGAGCAAAAAGTTGCCTAGCTTTATCCTGACCTCCTTAATTAAAACCGTGTTCAATGCCTGGCCGACGACTAGGAGATTTAGACAAACCACTGGCGCATGTGTGTTTGGGTGCTGTAATCTAGGAGCCGACAACATAGCACACTACTTCACGTGCCCAATTGCTACTCCTGCAATTCGTCAGCTAGTGCCATCGCTACCCCCAGAATGGGGATACTGGGCTCCATTTGGTTTTCTGCCTCATCTTTGGCCGTCTTCCACCCTCTGCCATCGCGCTTCTGAATACATGCATGCCTGTGCCGTTGCCGCTGACATTTTATTTACCTCTTTCAACAGCTGCCGCCGACAAGGGAGGCAGGACAGGGCCTTCGCCCACCAGGTCTTCAAGGGCAGAGCGCGGTGCTTAGCGGGGCGGTCCTCGGCCGTATCCGACTTCCTCCTCCTCCTCCTCCTTCTCCTCCTCCTCCTCCTCTCCCTCCTCCCCCTCTCCCTCCTCCTCCCTCGTCGTCGTCCTTCTCCTCCTCCTCCTCCTCCTCCTCCTCCTCCTCCTCCCCACTTCTCCTCCTCCTTCTCCTTCTCTTCCCCCTCCTCCCCCTCCTCCCAAAGATTTTCCGACGGACGTGCCCAAGCCACCCAGCAGGTTTCTGGCAGGACCTGCACGCCCCTGGAGAAGCAATGCAACTTGTTCTGCAGGTCGTGTCGAGGAATCCTCCTGGGGACTTCTCTGGGGGTAGTTTTTCATCCTGGCTCCGTCTCCGACGGTCCCGGGGCCCGAAAACGGCCCCCGGAGGCAAACAAAACACGAAAAACCGAAAGCGACGAACCTACACAACTCGACAGTTTGAGTTGCGCGAATTTTACAGGGCAGTGTAGGGGGACCCGATGCGGTTCGGACCTGCGCGTGTCCCCGCGCAGGGGGCAGGCGGCAGCTGCACACGGTGCGCGGCAGCACCCGGGGCAGGCGAGGTCCTGCCTGGTCTGCGTGGGCCGCTGCTCCGCTGACCCCCCGCAGGGGCGCCAGAAACGTAAGGCCAGCATCACGCACACATGCTAATGCTACAGGCGCGTCTGCACCCCAGGAGGCACGCGCGCACCGAGGAAGCTTCTGGTGTAAGATCCGTGGCGGGCGTGTTCTGGCCATACCGCTCGGGAAACGATGTACTATAATATGTTTGCGCTATATGATCTGGTCGGACGCACGCCTCCAAGGAGGACGCAAAGTACTAGTACGTCTTTGTGCGTCCTATAAGACTGAAGTTCGCAGGACCTCGGCTTTGCCGACCCTTTTCGACAGCCCCGTTTCTGAGTTTTGACGGTTTATGTTTTCGGGGGATATTTGGAGCGGGAGCTCGTGTCCATCTTCAGGCTGGGCCTCGGCGTGTTCCTGACGGCCCCGTCGGGCCAGCTCGAGCCCTCCAAGCTCGAGTCTTGCGTCTCCCTGACAGGGTCGCGAGAAACTGGCGACAGCTACGCGCCTGGCAGCACCCTCGGGGGAGGGCGAGGCCTCGCTGAGCCCGCGCGGGCGCCACCACCACCCCGCTGGACGCCTCCCGAGTGGCGCAGGGGGCGCGGCGGCAGCCATGTTTTTGGGGCAGCGCGCAGAACGACGAGAGGAGAAAACAGAAACGAGAGAGAGAGAGAGAGAGAGAGACAGAGAGAGAGAGAGAGAGACCGAGAGCGGCAGCGGCAGCGGGATCGCGGAGTCGTGCGGCTCGCCGTGGGCGTGGCGCGCGCGTTGCTGGACGCGGCGCCCGCCGAGTGCTGGCCGTGTGGCGCCGTCCGCAGCGCAGGGCCCTGTCTAGGGGGGCAGTGGCGGGCCGGGTCGTGTGGCGGCAGTGGAGAGGCCCTGGGAGCACCCGGGCGGGTAGGCCACTTTCTCCTCTCCCCTTCCCCGTCTTTTACTCTTACGTTCATGCTTTGAGGGATCGGTGGTTGGAATGCGATGTATGTATATATCTGTACGACATATTTTTATATATATACACACATATATACATACATGTGTGTGAGAGAGAACGTATACGTATATATACACACAAGTATATATACATATCTTTAACAGACGTTTATCTAGATTTATAGAAATATGCTTAGAGAGAGAGAGAGAGAGAGAGAGAGAGAGAAATAGAGAGGGATAGAGAGAGAGAGAGAGAGAGATACTGAGAGATACCTGGAGGGCGGGAGGGGGATACCTGGAGAGGGAAGATGGAACGTGCGTGAAGGCAGGGGGTAACGGCATGTGCTCCGTGCGAACTGAGGACCCTAACCACAGTTAGGGTTACCGTAAACCGGTGGCGGGTGTTTTCTTCTGTGCCGTTCTGGCCTCCAGCGGCTGCTCTTCGGCCACCTTCCTCTGCAAACCACGACCCGCGACGAACAATGGCCCCGGCGATGGGGTCGGGTGCTGCAGGGGGCCCGCGCCGCGAAAGAGAGCGCGGCGTCGGCGGCGTGGGCAAGACGGGAGGCCACGGCCGCTGCGGAAGCGAGGCGCGCCGAGAAGCGGGCCGGTGCGCTTCGGCAGCCGGAGGCAGCAGCAAGGAAGGCGTGGGCCAGCTTCGGCGGCGGAGGCGGGCGGTGGCCTCGCGGAAGTGCAGGCAGGCCCCCCGCCCCGCCCTCAAGAGAGGTCGGATGTTGGGGGGTGCCCCAGGTTTGTGGGTTCGGCAGCACGCTGGATCTCGAAGTTCGTCTCTTGTCGCGGTCAGGATCGGACTCCGCCGAGCTGGGCGGCCGTGTGGCTGCCGATCGGAAGGCGCATGCTGCGCAACGCCGTGCCTCCTCCTCCGCCCTTCTCCCCCCCCTTTTCCGGCCAGGAGGCCTGCTCCTTGTTGTTGCGTAGGTGTGGTGACATGTGTGCAAGGTGGGCACAGCGGCCTGAAGCAGGGCACACGCAGGGCAGAGTTGGTACCACTAGGGCATAGTTTCCACACGGGAGCCGTGGTGTGAGTTGTATAAATGGCTGGTTGGGCCATGGGGCTCCCGCCCGCAACGCCGTGGACTCCTCTCCTCGGCCCGCGTCCTCCTCCGCTTTGCTCCGCCCTCCAGTTGCACACGTCCTCGACGGCGCGCTTCGAGGGGAACCGCGGGCATCCCTCTCGAGTATCGTCCACCGTCGGCCCCGCGAATTACAGCAACAGTTTCCCCGATATTGGGCACCACGTTTTTTTATATCTTCCTCGGGACAACGGTCCCCGCACCTCTCGGCCCCATCCCGGGACCCGATTCCACCTCGGTCCGTTTCTAGGCGGCCCCAGGGCCCGAAGGTAGATTGGAAGAATTGACCTATTGTTTTTTTTCGGTTGAGGCCAAAGATCTAAGTATCCTCCGTTCCGTGATGCAGTCAGACCGAGGTTTGGGGAGGGTATCCTGGTGTTCTTCGTGTTCGTTGGATGTTCTTGTGCATCCCGGGGAGGGTACCTTTGGATGTTCTGTGTGAGTGTGTGTGTGTGTTCTGGCCGACGGGGGGTTTCATGCTCTTGAAGGAACTTCTTGTGTCGTAGGCCCGACTGTAACCGCTTGGGGGTGTCGCCCCCCCTTGCCCACAATCCCAAACTAGCCCTCGTCGTGGGCAGCCACCGCGCGCCGAAGGCGCTCCAACGCAACGGCGCGGCGTGCCGAGGAGGCGAGGCTGATTCCCGATGGAAGGGGGGGGGACCCCCCCGCGTTTTTTTGTTGGGGGGGGGTACTTCCGAACGGGGAGTGAGCTCCCCCCCTCCCCTTCTTCCTTCCCCTCCTCCTCCCCCACTCCCTCGCCCCTCTTGTTGCTGCTGCCATTTGCACACATTGCCGCCCCCACGGGTGAAGCAGAGACTGCCCACGCGACGTTTGGCCGATCCTGCGCGATGACTCTTCGCCTGCCCTCCAGGGGCCCGCTCTGGCACCGGAGCTCGCAGGCAGACCGCAATAATTGGAGGAGTAATAGGAGGAGGAGGAGGAGGAGGAGGAGGAGGAGGAGGAGGAGGAGGAGGAGGAGGAGGAGGAGGAGGAGGAGGAGGAGGAGGAGGAGGAGGAGGAGGAGGAGGAGGAGGAGGAGGAGGAGGAGCAGGAGCAGGAGCAGGAGCAGGAGGAGGAGTGAGCTCCCCCTTCTCCTGCCGCTGCAGCCTGCGGCGCCTGCTGCGCCCGCCGGAGGGAAGCGGGCGCCGCCCCTTGCGGGCGCTGCCTGCGCGGCTTGTGTGCTGCCCGCGCGGGCCCGTTCTGCCGCCCGAGAGGAGCGGTTCGACGAGCTGGTGTCGCTGCTGCGCCTGCACGACTACGAGGCTGTGCCCCTTCTCTGCGCGTTGGGCGGTGGGTGTCCTGCTCCGTTGGTTGAGCGGACCAGTGCCAGTAGCAAGAACGGTGCTATCATCGGTCGCAGGAGTGTGGTCAGGCGCAGGAGCTGAAGGAAAGTCGAGGCAGCCAGAGCGAAACAGTGGGTTTCGCGCCAGGGTGGCGAATGAGGAGTAGCAGTAGGAGTTCTAGTGATGCACAACAGGTTTTTGGCCTCTGGGGGCGCTCTCGTCGCTACTGCTGGGTACCCTTCGATGTCCTAGCAAAGTCTGACAGGAAACGGGAGGAACTGGATGTCGGGGGCGGAGAGGAAGGAAGAGGATGATGAGAAGGAGAAGGAGGAGGAAAAGGAGGATGATACATTTGCAACACAATGAACGCCGATGCATGTACAACAGCGGGCTGTGCGCTTGCTCATGTGAGGGGCGGGCGCAGACTGTTGTTAGCAGTCGCGTGACTAGACCCTGATCGCAATGCGACGCACAGGAAACGGAGGAGGATGGAGTGGATCCGCAGACGCATTTGGACACTGGAGATGTCTCAGCTCTTCACCCTGCTGCTCCTGTGGAGCTGACCTGACCAGGCAACACGGGCCTCATGGAGATTCGCGGTACCCCTCGTCTTCCTCCTTCCCGCTTTCGCCTCTCCATCAGGAGGAGGAGAGGAGGACTCTGCTAAAACATGCGCCTGGACCACTACAGGCATACAACGTCTGTGCCTGGGCGGGTCAGCCCACCCTCTGGAGACAGGCGTGGGTGCTCTCTCCTAGCATTTGGTGGCTTTTGGGCAGTGTTCGGGCGCACTGCGGTCAGGAACTTCTGCTTAGCGTGTCGCTCCGATGGCTCTGGCCTGCCACGCTTCGGCTCGGCACGCTAACCGCGTCCCCATCCCCATGCATCAGAGTCCCGGGCTTCTTTCAGCCCCCCCGCCCCGCGGAGCACAGCAACCCGCTGTCAGCTTGCGGCGCATGGCGGGCCGCAGGGACCGCCGCCGCGACACGCGGAGCAGAGCCCCTGGCTGCAGGGCACGACCTGCTGTTGATGCCACGGGTCCCAGCTGGAGGCGGTGGACGTCGCTCCTCCGCACCCCAGCGCCGCACCCGCCCAGCCTGTGCCTCGGGAGCCTCCGCCCTCGGGGGCCCGAGGGATCCCCTCGCCAGGGAAGCACTCGCAGCTCCCCTCCGCTCGCCGCCGCCGTCGTGGAGGTCCGCGTCGGAGTCCTCGGGTGCCGCCCCCCCCGGACCAGGGGCAACGACAGGGCGAAGGGGGCACGGTCGGGAACTTTGGATTGGCCTGTCGTTCCGCCGGTTCTGGCCCACCACGCTGCGGCGCGACACGCCACCTTCCCGTTCCCGCTCGCTGGGCGCAGCGTGCCGTCGGGGCCGCCGCCGCGACACGCTGTCCAAAAGTTCCCGACCGTAGGCTCGCGGGGGAATGGCATCGACCCCCTGTCGCCCATGGATCGCCGACATGCGCCTGCTGGCCCACCCCCGCCCGGGAGCGTGCGGCTTCGCCATCCGGGGCCCATCGCTGATCTGTGCCTGGCGTCGAGCACGTGCGCCCGCGCTCAGAACCTGCGTCGGAGTTCTCGGGTGTCCCCCCGAGCCCTCACGTCCGCCGATGTATTCTTGTTTTCGGTGCGCGGCCCTGGAGATCCCGACCCTCGGGGGAGGGAAAGGTGCCGATACA